TCAATGTATGTGAAGAATGTTTGTTGATTATTTGTTGCGGGGGCAAAGTGTTTGCTTAGTTAATTTCATTATTGTGATACTTGGTCTTTATGCGGTCATAATCAACCCTTCACCATTCTAATGGAAAATCTAGAGGGTCATCTTGGTTATTTAGACCCGAATTTCATGAAACATCCACTTTCAACCAATTTCCTCCCGGAGTTCAAGCTCCAATTCCTCCAGTGATCCTTCGTGATCTTTACAATCTTCATGAATATCATTCACCATCTTGCATCTTGCTTCCTAATTTTGGGGCAAATCATTATGAAATTAAGTCCGAGACAATTCAAATGTGTCCACTTTTCTATGGCTTAAATGATGAGGAACCTTATAAACATCTTGATGAATTTCTTGAGATATGTTCCACCGTGAAATACATGAATGTTCCGGAAGAATTTCTTATGTTACTTCTCTTCCCTTTCACTCTAAAAAATAAGGCTAAACATTGGTTCAACAACTTAGGGGCAAATTCAATAACTTCTTGGGTACAAATGTAAAATGAATTTTTAAAGAAATTTTACCCCGTGAGTTTGACCAATGTTATGCGAACTTCTATTCGTGAATTTTCTCAAGGGGAAGGAGAACTTTTACATGAGGCTTGGGAAAGATTGAATGACTTGCTAAGGAAGTGCCCACACCATGGCATTCCTAAATGGCAAGTTGTTCAATATTTCTATGAAAGTCTATCCGATATTTATAAGGACATTGTTGATACATCATGTGGAGGTTCATATTTCGGAAATATGAAGATGATGTTTGGCACCTTTTTGAGAAAATGAGTGAAAATTCATTGCATAAGTTTCACACTTCTCAGTTGAGTCATGATTCTAATAATAAAAAGAGAAATGTAAAAGTATGTCAAATTGAGAGTCCAATGGATATTGTTGCCGAGGTCAAAACTCTTACTAAAAAACTTGATCAATTTTTATTGAGTCAAAAACTGGTAATTCAATCATCTCCTCTTCTTAATCATCATATTCATCATTCTTGTGAGCCATGCATGACTTGTTCAAGTGTATTGCATACTACTTTCAATTGTCCTCATGGACATGTGCTTGATGAGCACTATGAACACGTCAATGTCGCATTTGCTCATCCTCTTCAAAATGTTTATGTACCGGTATGGAATGAACATTCAAATCCTTTTCAAGCTAAAAATTTTCAAAACCGATATATTCCTCCTCATTAAAGAAATAGAGGTTCAAAAGGGTTTGTTTCATCTTCTTCTTCTCCTTATCATCAAAGAATGAATCAATTCTCTCATCCTCAAGCTTATAATTCTCAAAGTAGCCCTAATCATCTTTATGCACTCTCTAGCAACTCCACATTTGAAGATAAGGTCTTAGTGGCTTTGGGTAGTTTGGAAATGAACACCAATTTGTTGCATTCCCATTCTCAATCGATATCAAAGGTTGAATCCCAAATAGGGATGATAGCTAAGCATTGAATGCGAGAGAAATGGGTAAATTGCATAGCCAACCCGAAAGAAGCCCAACATTTTGTGGAAGCAAACTCTACATCGGGGTGTTCTTCCCAAGAGCAAGTACAAGCAATTACCACTTTGAGAAGTGGTAGGCAAGTTGATAATAGGGTTAAACAACCAAATGAAGTTAGTGAACCGGTGCAATCAAAAGTTGACACCCGTCCCGTGCCCAATTCTATTCCTACTTCCTTGGATGAAAATGTCACCATCAAGAACTCACAACCCTCTTCATCATCTCCTCAAGTTGCAAGGTCTTATGAGCCAAAAGCTCCATTTCCATATGCATTGAGAGAAACTTCGCCTTGTGGGAGGCAAGAAGGAAAAATCCATGACATGATGGAAGTCTTCAAACAAGTCAACATAAATCTTTCTCTCTTGGATGCAATTAGATAAATTCCACCTTATGCAAAATTCTTGAAAGATCTTTGCACACAAAAGAGAAAAAGCAAGTGACAAAGCCCTAAAAAAGTGTTTCTAATGGAGAAACTGAGCTCCATCATTCAACATAACACTCCACCTAAGTTCAAAGATCCCGGTGCTCCGACCATCTCATGTGTAATTGGAACCTATGAAGTTCGTAGAGCTCTTCTTGACTTAGGAGCAAGTTTTAATTTGATTCCTTACTTCGTGTATGTCCAACTAGGTTTGAATGAGTTGAAGCCAACCTCGGTGGTGCTTTAATTGGCCGATAGATCCATCAAAACACCTAGGGGCATAGTTGAGGACATTCTCATTAAAGTTGACAAATTTTATTTTTCGGTTGATTTTGTGGTCCTTGATACTGAATCGATTGCTAATCCTACTAATCACATCCTAATCATCTTGGGAAGGCCATTTCTTGCTACCGCAAATGCTACCATTAATTGTAGATCCGTGGTTATGGACCTTTCTTTTGGTAACATGATGGTTAAGCTTAATGTATTCAATGTAAGTCGACATCCCTTTAATGAAGACGAGTGTTGTCTCATAGATGTCTTAAATGAGATTGTGGAGGAGTCCATTCCTTCCATGGTTATAAAAAAACCAACCGAGGACAATCTTTTATCTCTTTTAGCAGAGGATCCTCTTGCATCTTGTCTCCTTGAAATGTATAAAAGTTGTGGATTTGACAATGAAGGATCAATAAGTGAGATTACTGAATTAATGGAATCCGTTGCGATTTTGGATTTTCCACCTTAGAAAACTCTAAAAGAACCTCTTCCTCCACTCTCTAGCACTCCACCGATTCCATCTCTAATCTCTCGACCAATTCTTGAGCTTAAAACTCTACCTTCAAATCTTAAGTATACCTTTCTGGGTCCAAAATAGACTCTTCCGATTATCATCTCTACAAATCTTGAAAAAGATCAAGAGAATTCTCTTTTGGATGTGCTTAAAGAAAATAAGGAAGCTATTGGATGGAATGTGGCGGATCTAAAGGGAATTGACCTTTCCATTTGTATGCATCGCATTCTTAAGGAAGAGGATGCAAAACCTTTTAGAGATGCCCAAAGAAACCCAAACATGAAAGAAGTGGTTAAGAAAAAAATCATTAAGCTCTTAGATGCCGGTATCATTTATCCAATCTCTGATAGCAAATGGGTGAGTCCAACTCAAGTAGTTCCCAAGAAATCGGGGATTACGGTGGTTGAAAATTCAAAAGGTGAGGCAATTTCTAAGCGTATCGCCAACTCATGGTGAGTATACATTGATTACTGTAAATTAAATGCCGCCTCTAGAAAAGATCACTTCCCTTTGCCAGTCATTGATCAAATTCTAGAGAGATTGGCTCGGCTACAATATTATTACTTTCTTAATGGCTATTCGGGTTACAATTAAGTAGCCTTTGACCCTCTAGACCAAGAGAAAACCACCTTTACCTGTCCTTTTGGCACATTTGCTTATAGATGGATGCTTTTTGGTTTGTGCAATGCTCCCGCAACATTCCAAAGGTGTATGATATGGACATGGTGGAAGAGTATCTAAAGGTCTTTAAGATTGATTTTTCTGTCTTTGGGTCTTCATTTGATGCATGCCTCAAAAATCTAAATTTGGTGCTTAAAAGATGTCGTGAAATAAACCTTGTTCTTAGTTAAAAAAAAAAAAAGCCATTTTATAGTTCAAGAAGGTATTGTTTTGGATCATGTCATCTCTAAAGAGGGGACTTGAGGTTGATAAAGCAAAAGTTGAGCTTATTTCTGAATTGCCTCCACTTTCAACGGTGAGAGAAGTTTGCTCTTTTTTAAGTCATGCCGGCTTTTATCGTCGTTTCATCAAAGACTTTAGTAAGATTACTAGACCCTTATGCAATCTTCTCGCCAAAGAAACTCCTTTTATCTTTGATCAAGCATGCCTTGATGCTTTTCACAAATTGCGTGACTTATTATCATCTGCTCCTATTATGCAACCTCCCAATTGGTCATTACCATTTGAAATAATGTGTGATGCCTCTGATTATGCCATGGGAGCAGTTTTGGGGCAAAGGGTAGGAAAACTTCCATGCGTTGTATACTATGCAAGCAAGACCCTCTCGAGAGCTCGATTGAATTACTCCACTACCGAGAAGGAATTACACTACAATAAAAATGGCTTTTAACAAGGGGCAAAAAACAATTCTACAATGGGCATAGCCCGTTGTGGTATCCCCTGTCGTTGTTGAGTCATAGTCTTCTACGACGGTTTCAGCACGTTGTGGAAAATGTACTTTCTACAACGATTTACAACCATTGTAGAAGTCAATATCGACAATGGGCAAAGGCCATTGTAAAAAATCAATTTTCTACAACGGGCATTTTCTACTACGGACGGTGCCCCTCTTAAAAAGCTAACTTGCCACAACGATTTTTGTCTGTTCTACAAGGGACTTAGCCCGTTGTGATTTACAACCATTGTAGAAGTCAATATCGACAATGGGCAAAGGCCGTTGTAAAAAATCAATTTTCTACAACGGGCATTTTCTACTACGGACGGTGCCCCTCTTAAAAAGCTAACTTGCCACAACGATTTTTGTCTGTTCTACAAGGGACTTAGCCCGTTGTGAGAAATACCTCAACAACGGGCGTTGCTCGTTGTAGAAAGTCAATTTGCTACAACGGGCATACCCGTTGTAGAAGGTGTGATTTTCTACAACAGGCATAGGCCCTTTTAGAAATGTTACTTTGCACAACAATTTTTGCTTGTTCTATGAGGGACTTTGCCCATTGTGAAAAGGGATTTTTTTTTTTTTTTCCCCACCCAAAAAATTTTGTATACCTGTTTTTCTTGAAATCCAACACAATAACCTAGCCAATAACCATCCATCATCCAACACCTCATTCTATGAATATTACACAACCAAAACTCCACCCAAAGCCATATATTTTCACGCCAAACCTTGTGCAAATCAACAACATCAACATATTTGGAGCATGCAAAAAAATAGCTCAAGCTTTATAAACAATAAAAAAGGGGAAATCCTATCAATCACAAACAAATAAATTTCAACAAGTCTTATATTCATTAAAGATTTCAATGTACAATTCCATCATTGTTAACATATATATATATATATAAATTATAATCTGGAAGTAGCAATACTCACAAAAAATCAAAATAGTAAGGCAATTGCTCACTCTTCTAAGCAACCCAATTAGCCTTGTATTTTTCTTGTCTTGATATCCTCATTGTAGTGCCTGTCATCATATTGCACACACCCAGGGGCCGGGTATCCCAAAAGAAGATGATCATCTTGAACCTGCAAACAGAGAAAATAGAATTGGGTACAATTAATTTGGTAGAGAGACAACAATGGAATGGAAGTAAGTACATAAAAAAATAGATTGTTAGAGAGACAACAAAGGAATGACCAACTACTTATTGTGTAAAAACTAAGAATATGGATATGGTACACAGAATGGCAAGACACGAACACGACAATATGACAAATCCTATAAAACTAAGACATAGTGAAGGCAAATTCTCTATAAAATGCTTGGTAAATATATATATGGTAAAAAGACCCACCCCCCCCCCCCCCCCCCCCCAAAAAAAAAAAATGTTGAATTATTTTGCATTTGCAAATAACTCCCTAAACATCAAAAGAATAAATAAAAAAGCCCCCTAAATTTCAAAAATTTGCAGCTAACCCAATCTTCATCACTCAATTTGATGAAATTTCAGAACTATCCTTAAAAATTGTGAATGAAAATACCAAGTTAAAACAATGACTTTGAAACAAAAAAAAAAAAAAAAAAATTCCAAATTAGAGTTAAGACCCTAGGATCTACTATTGGGATATACCAAATTCATTTTCCCCTATTTAAATCCAAAAAATGGTTAATTTGGTTAAAAGAAAATCATATTGGTTAACTTCTAATCCATTTCCATTCTTTTTTAACACAAAAATAATGGCAAGGGACAATTTTGGGTTTTACAATAGTCTAGGGAGATTGCCATAATCAAAGGAGGTTATACGTAAATGTGTAAAAGTTGAAGGGGTCAAAATTTTTTTTTTTTTTTTAAATTCTTCTTTCAATTTTGTTCGATAATATATATATTCCCTTGATAACTCAATGTCATGATTATATTAGTAAATTTTCAAAATAAAAGCATTTTTACCTATTCATCAACAACCAAACACTTCTTTATTGTTTATTGGGTAACCAAACACTTTCTGCTCTCCTAAATCATATTTTTCTTTCTTTACTTTGTTCCAACACAATCAAGACTTACTTTCCTTTTTATGATATTCCTTAAATTTTTAGGAAGTCGATCGACAAGAAAGAGTAGATTGATGGACCCCACATTCTTCGTGGGGCTCACCGTGCCATTTCGCCTCATCGGCTTGACCCAATTCTGCACAAGAAGCATTTTCCAATTTTTTATACAAGTGATCATTTAATAGTTGGGTAAAATTCATGATTGTTATCACCTAATGAATTTCAACCTTGCGTATGGTTAGTTGGAGTGGAAAACCTGAGTTGAAAAGATGTCCCCTGTTCAGAGTATACTGTAAGCAAGCTATTGAAGCTAAAAAGATCAATAGGAAAGATTATAGTGGTATTTCCTCCAAGGTACTGCAATCCAAGCAAGAGCTCCATGCATCCTAGATTTAACTGCAACTTAACCCTATGTTAGTTCCTAGAAATATTGTATTTCCAAGTCTGCCAAGCTAGCTCTACTTGAAGAATCAATTCTGAGATAGAAATTTAGAATCCAATGGCTCAATCTTGGAGACCAGAATTTCTGTTTCGAAACTGTGACTTCTACGAAGGCCACTAACCAAACCAGTTCCTTAAAAATAGAAGATGGAAATCTCTAAACTAATATCAAGGATGAAGTTGTGAACTGCTTCAGAAATTGTTGGCTGGTGAGAACCAATTGGTTTTCCAACTCTATTCCTCCAAAAATTATCAGTGATTTGCAGGTTGAACTCTCTACTGAAGAAATCAAATGTGCAGGCCCAGATGGCTTCACTCTCGTTTCTTTAATAAATTATGAGGTATAATTGGTCCAAAGATCATAGCAGCATTTGGTCCAAAGATCATAGAAGCCATTAAGTTTAGCTTCTCTTCTTTAGTTTCAGATTTTAGACCCATAGCATGTTACAACACCTTATACAAGTTTATGTTTAAAATCATTGCCAATAAACCTAGAAAGCCTTGAACCATATTAAATCTCCTAATCAATTAGCCTTCATTCCCCACCACAAAAATCTCTAACAATGTCTTGCTTACCAGACCTACATCTATGGATGAGAAGGATTCCGTATAGATATTGCAACAGGAGAGTTACTTGGATTGTTTTGTAATGACTTTAGGACTAGGATAGGTCTTTCTCATGTTTATATTCCAAGTCATCTCTATAGCCTTCTTGGGTCATATCCACAGCTACATTTTGATGATTGTGATTCAGTTTTCAGATTATATACTTGGATTGTTTTGTCATGAGAAATTTTTGTTATTATATACTAATCTATGTACTTAATTTTTTAGGGTTAGGAGTTACCTAGCCTTTAAAGTTGCTACTCTTACAGGTTCAAGTATGTGTGTGAATCATTAAATAGAGACTAGTTATCTACTAAACAACCACTTTCTAGACCATGAGAGTCAAGTCTCAATAATAAAAATGCTATAAAAGAGATCACAACCTCAAGCATCATTTAAGTAAAATGTTTGATAGGAAGCAATGCTATAAAAAAATTACATACCTCAAGCGTCATTTAAGCAAAAACTCAAAAAGCTTATCCTAGCCCTGCATGTAAACCAAATAGTGTATCCCAAAAGAAGCACACCCAAGTATTGTTACGGCCCAAGTTTTTCAACCCGGTGCATTAGTGATGAACCGAAAGATGATCCGATAACAGATCCGAAATACGGAAGCAAAAGACAAACACCGGTCTCTAGAGATACAACATGACTCTAAGACACCATTGTGACCCTCAACGAGGTCACGGGACCCAAAGGAATCAAATGCGAAAACAACATTTCAAAAACGGACAAAAATGCACCTAGGGGCAAAATCGTCATTTCTAGCCTAAAAGTGGGTGCCACCGAGCACACCATTGGAAAGACAACGAAAAATCAATGAACTTAGACTCAAAAATTGCTTGATTCGGAGTCCGGATGAAGAAAATATGGCTAACGGAAGAAGAAGGGGCAAAACGGTCCAAAAGAGGCAACCCATGAACATCTAACCGGTTAGGGGACCTTCCTAACCGGTTAGGAAGCCAAAAACAGTGAAAAAAAACGCTGCCCACACTCATCTAACCGGTTACGAAACCCCTCGTAACCGTTTAGATGTGAAGGGGCAGTAAGGGTGCGACATAAAAACCTAGCAGCAAGGGTTTTTCCAGAAAAAATGGAAATTTGAAGCCTTAGATGATATTTTCTGGAAAAACTCAGAAGAAACCCTTCTCAAAATCAAGTTTTCTACGTGACTCTTGAGGAAAATTGAAAAATACACAATATGAAATGCCCAAAATGCCCTCCCAAGAAAATTGGTCCAGAGGGTCTAAAAAGCTGCTAAATTTAAAAACTGAGAGCTGAATTTCGGATGCGATTTCCGATGCCAAGATAGAATTTTCTAGAAAAACACGAAAAAGAAACCCCCCCTAAAATCATATTTTCTAATCAACCACGTGAAGAACGGAATTTATTTCCCAAAGAAAATTTCCAAAATACCCTTAGGTCAGAATATGCAACAAAAGTGAAAAATGAGTCCGTAGGAGGCTCATTTCACCAAAAAAGAATCCTTATCCGGAAACGACCATGTACGCAAACGTAACTTACCTAGTAAGACATGCTACAATGGTCCATGGCCCAAAAATATGACCGATACAAAATATGACCCCCCAACGGCCAAAATGCCAAAAATAAAGTTTGGAACGAAAACTTGGAATTCAAAACTATGAAATGGTTTCAAAATGCCGTTTGGCCCTTGGCCATACTTCATACATAGTGAATGAATGCTAATGGAAGAATCAAAATGGAATTCCCACACCCAATGCAAACATGGTGAAGCAAAAACTCAATATTTTTCAATACATTCATAATATTCCATGAAGTCAAAAATTACATAGGATACAAATTACATGTCATTGGCCTCCGGCCTCATCTCATACATGTCAAATACATCGTATAGAGTGTACTCATGACACATTACATATATGGAATCAAATGTACACATGTTGACATATAAGACTACAATTGGCATTCCAAGCCAACCTTCACAAAAATGGAAGTCTCCAAGTCCACAAACCATCCAAGCATAATGAAGACCTCAACTTTGATTCTTGTACTTGAAATATGCCCCAGTATCGTAGAGATGAGTAACATAAAACTACTCGTAGGAAATGAGCATATATCGACCTACGTTTTACAAGTTTGTATAATTTAATCATTGTGGTTCATTCCACTTAACGTCTGTCAAAAGTGAGACTCAAGGAGTATCCTAGCTACCTAAGATCATTTCTAACATCAATCACCTCACTCATGCAATTTTAGCAACATAGGTTCATGCTTACACAAAGTAACAACATAGGAGCATTCTTACACAAAGCAACAACGTAGGAGCATGCTTACACAAAGTAACAACATATAGATTCTCAAGGTTATCAACTTGAAGTCTAAAATGCAACATCAACTAAATATAATAATTTAGCATAATTAAAATATCTAATACCACACATCAAGACATAGATTCTCTAGGTTATCAACTAGAAATCAAAAAGTGTGAAATCAACTAAATATATTAATTTAGTATGGATGTACTTAACAACATCAAAATCACCAATAACCAAAACCACAAGTCAACAAGGTAAACATGATTGTCAACTTGGAATTAAATGCGAAAACAAATAGTGGAAGACTTGGACATCACGCTCGGAATTCTGCCGAAACCTCAATGGTTATTCCGGGCACTAACCCGCAGAGAAGACCACCCTAAATGCGCACTATCTCAATGACTTAGAGGACTCACGTCCCCGTACTAGAGCCAAACCCTAGCCATCTTAACTCAACAATGTTCCAAGATTCCAAAATAAGCCAAATAAGTTCATAACTAATACATATTACTATTACATAGTAACAAGTTAGCAATATAACTAAGCATTTCATATCCATAATGCTACGAAATCACAAGCCAATAATATATTCATATAGAAACATACTCTCATGAATATAAATTTAACAACAATGCCCTTCAATGTATATAACACAATCAAGTAAATACTACACAAGTCTAAATCCATACTCTTAAAATAGAAACAACTTCTAAAACATGATTAGATCCATGGATACACAAGATAGAATTTAATTACATCAAAATAATTAAACTCTCTAAATTTCAAATCATTTCCAATTGGCCCCAATTTAATATATGTTAATAGACATATCATGGTCATTACATATATTCACACACAAGCTTAATTAGGCCCATGAAACCACCAAAATAGATTTTAATTAATTCCCTTAATTAAAGTCTCTAGATTTCGAAACTCAACCAAATGCTCTCAAATTAAAGCATGTTAACAAACATGCCAAAACTTAATTTAAAAGCATAACACAACTCAATTTCATGCAAGGTATGGCCATGAACTTAAATCTTTCACAAAAGATAAATATTAATTAAAAAGAGCAATTCTTATTTAATTAATTCCAATTTAATATATGTTAACCAACATATTAAAACAAGTTTCTACTATGCCACAATTCAAAACCAAGTTTCTCATCATCATGAAAATTAAATCTTATACAAAGAATTAAATGTTTCAAATTTCCTAGATTTGATACAAGGCATGCATATAGGTTGTATAAACATGAAAAACACACAATACAACACATATAAAATTCTAAAACATTCCCTACCTCCATTTGAGATGAAATCTCAAATCCCCACCAAAATAAATCGGCTCCGAATCCGACGAAACTCCTAGATTTTATCGGGGACAACACCACGAACATGAATCCCAAGGAAGCCCCATTAAAAACACAACTTGACTTCAAACCCGAACTCAAGAAATAGCCAAAACGAGATTCCAATCGGTTGGAATCGAAGGCCTCACCGAGGGGAACAATAAACACAAAGGCATCACCACTTTTTAATGAAGGAAAGAAGTCCAAAAGAGGAGAGAGAAGATGGCAGCCATGGATGGAGCTTGGACCGGCCATGAGAGAGGAGAGAGAGAAAAATCTGATTTTTCTTTCTAAGACCTCCTATTTATAGAAAAACTCAAAAAGTGCCCCGAACGGGCCCCGCCGGGTCCGGAAAAGTGGAATTTATGCAGACGCGCTCAAATGGCAAAACTCCATGAACGAAAAAGATTCCAAATAAGAAAATATGAACGGAAGAAACGGCGTCAAAAACCGAGTCCCGAACAGAGAGTTATGCCCAAAACAAGTTTGACGCAAACCGGGGCCAAAAACCCTGAAACTAGAAAATATCGTCCAGGAAAAAATTCTAAGAATCCACGACTCGACGAAATGTGAAAATGAATCTCATACAAGAATCCGGGCTCAAAACAAGGCATTGAGCAATAACTTTCATTAATTGCACAATGACCCCTCCAAAAAGTGAAAATTGCGAAATTGCCCCAAAATGAAAATATCTTCCAAAAGATATTTTCTTAGATACCCCTGAAATAAAATATGTTCAAAAGATATTTATGAAAAACACTCCAAGAAAAGAAAAAGTTTCCAAAGAACTTTGCATTTATGCCCCTATGGACACCGGGAGTAACCAGAGTACTTTCTCACGAAAGTAAAGATACGTATCTCATAGAAATCATTGAGAATGAAGATACGTGAAGTCAGAAACCAACTCCGAACACAAGAAGTGTGGTTAAGCAAACAAAGTGCCAAACGAGGAAAAGACGAAATAGGGAAAAAGACAAAATAGGGAAAAGACAAAAAGTGAATAGTGTCGAAAAACGAAAAGTGCAGAACTGACTCGGTCCTCAAAGGAAGTTGTCAATCCACAGAAAAGAGTCTCGGAAATCACTCCAGAGCACTCGAGACGACATTAATCGACAAAAAACCAAACTCAGAAGGGAAAAGACAACGAAAAAAAATTTATCCAAAAAATCCGGGTCATTACAGGTATCCCAAAAGAAGATGATAATCTTGAACCTGTAAATAGAGAAAAAAATTGGATGTAGAAAAAATTGAATAACCCAGCAGCCTGAATTCAAACTCTAATACATCTAACTTTGATACACAAAATCAGCAATTTCAATCCAAGCAAAAAAAACACATACCTCAAGCATCATTTAAGCAAAAACTCATAAATGCAAGCTTATCCCACATTCGGCACTACATGTAAACCAAATAGTGTTTTTCAGATTCATATATCATTAAAAACTTTTTAAAACGTGCTCAAAAAAGTATATGGACTTACGAATTTTGATGAACCTGTTAGGCCATGCAATTGTTTCACCCATCACATGTTCAAGAGTATTGTAAGATTGAAGAATTCGGTACATCGGCACGTTAGGTTCAATGACTTGGGTGATATAAATTTTCCAACATTCTAAACCAAAAGGAACATCATCTATAAGATCATCAGGATCTGTTGAATCAACTTCACCCATAGCGACAATTACTCCTGTCCCATTATAATGTAGTAACTCACACTTCTTATAGACAACATCTTCAGTAGGTGGGACTTGAGGTGGAGCATTGGGACAGGATTGGTTGTTAGCATTTTGTGCCTACCATAATATTGAATCGTTGATGAAAAAAAAAAAAAAAAAGAAACAAAATAATTAATAATGCTTAAAAAAGAGACTTATTAACTAAGAGTAGTGCATACACACATATATACTATTGATTATGGAGTTCACTTACCATGAGTGCTTCTATTTGCTGTTGCATTTTCAGTTGTATTTGTTGTTGTCGCTGCAATTGTTGTTCCAAGGAACCAATCGTCCGATCATATATCCGAGAAACATCATTCCGAGCATTTATTTTTGTCATTGTTACCCCAAATCCTAATGCTCTCACTCTTCCTCGATGTTCAGGACCCATTACATGTGAGATTGCATCATCATGAATTCCTGTACTCTAAGTGGTGTTGGTATATTCTTCCATTTGTTCCTAAAACAATAATATATGTAGAACACACTTTTTAGTTTAATAAGTATATAAATGACCAACTACTTAAGCTAAAAGGATTCATTTTTTACCGCTGCCTCCTTGGCTACTTCATTTATATAACTTTTGTCCTTTCTTTTATGCGCTTTAATGCACACGTCTACTCTCGTAATGGAGTCAAGCGTCTGACATTTCTTTCTACATAAGAGTATAAAATAATAAAAAGCCCTTAAATATAAACATTAAAACATATTACCAAGGTTGATTTTCATAAAATAAAATAAAATAAAAACTATGAGAGAAGTTGGTATAGATTTTCATATCTCAAACCTCAAGTATGAATTGATTTTCTGGTTTATGCTTCTGAAACTGAACTTAACATGCTATAATCATGTTATACTCTAATTTTCCATCATCTAAGCACGATTGAATTGATGATCTGGAGTTAAACAAGTTGAATCATGGTCAAGAAAGTAACCATTATAGCTTCAGGTCTGGTAGACCTCACAAACTATGCTTTGTTTAAGTGTTCATGCCTATTGTATGTGCTGTGAGTGCAATACCTATGTGTAATTACAGTGTTCTTCATTTAAGCAACTACATTTTTCTAATATATGATTAAGAGAATCAGTGGCTGAACTATGCTGTTGTAGAATTACATTTCAGTCCCTAATAACAGTACAATTTGGGTACCTAAGTAATTTAATTTTAGCGAACGAACTTGAGCAGTTTAATAGGTTTGGGCATAAATTGCGACCCCTACATAAAACATACAATCTTGTAAAGGTTACGAATCTATATTCCCTAGTAAATACATTACTATTTACTACAAAAGTAATTTCATAGTAAATATTTCGTAGCTAAAAAGCTATTTTCTTGTATCGTTATCCAATCATAATACTAAAATTATGCTTCAGTCATATTCCTGCATGCCATATTTTAAACTTCCTGCCAATGCATGTGAGAAAAGAAATATCATCATGATGGACGTTAGCATTAGATTGCTAGGTAGCAGTTGGTAGAATCCAATTATAATGGAGGCAGCATTTAATTTAGCTCTCCTAGCGAAAGAAGGTTGGAGTTTGGGGGGGGGGGGGGGGGGGGGGTGGTGCTTTTGCATTATGTTTTCAAAGGAAAGTATTTTCCTCATTGTTCATTAATGCCTAAAGCTGGAAAAGGAAGCAACCCCTCTTGGGCATGGCAAAGTTTTCTTTATGAGCTACATTGTTGATTCATTGTTGGTGTACTTTGTCCAACCTTCAGACCACATATAAAGCATTTAATGTCAAGCTGAGGGAGCCTTTAGTTGAAGAGATTTTCAATTATCGTAAGGCATTGTTTAGCAAAAACTGTAAACCTAGTTTTTAACTCTAAAGTAATACTTGTGTGCATTCAATGGTTATACATTGTTGTGTCTCATGTGTTTAATATGCGAGTAAGTGTATCTTGCCTATTGTTATGTCTAATGTGTTTGATATGTGAGCAAGTACATAGAATATGGATGACTCATAATAATAACTGTGTGTCAATATATATGTATCTTCAAAACCACTGCTACATATTAAAACCCCACACAAATTAAGCAATGATTTTAAAAAAATAGAAAATTCTATTTCATTACCATCTCCTTAGTCAACCCGGCATATCCCAATCGGCTCATAGTGTGGGGGGTTTTGTTTTTAGCTTTTAATTCTTGTTTTTTTTGCCTTTCCACCTACAAATACAAAAGTTTAGATAATTTATATACGTCATGCAGAAAAACGAAAAGGTAAAAAGGACATATAATTCAAACTATATACTCACAGCATGCTCTTTTGATAAACGCTGCCTAGCAAAACTTAGCCACTCCTCTATTGTGGGCACATTAGGAGGCTTCATGAGTTGTAAATTTCGTGTGTTTTTTCCCACCTTCAGCACATCACTTGTCAGAATTGATTTATAGGTGCGCCATGCAGCTCCCATCTTTTGAAATGAGTATCGGGATGCACTATCGTCAACATTAAACCGCAACTGTAGTCAAATTCCAAAGATAATGGAAACAAGTCATTATTAATACTCCTTCATGATAGTCACAACTACCATGGCAACAGAAGAAAGAATGGACTGCAAAACAACATATGATGAGAATTCCACTTAAAACGCATTAATTATTTATTGTAGGCTTAAATAACACTATAATACACACAGCTCAATCTCACAAGGATTTCTTCTAAAGAGTACAAAAGATAAAAGAAAATAGAAAATAGAGAACACATACTAATTATTATTATATTTAGTTTATGTCCAATATACTCTCATTTTATTCAAACAAACAATTGAAAAATACCTGTATAGCCTCCCATAATTCATCTCCGAATTGTTCTAGTACGGTGTTCCATCTTCGTATAGTTACCGGCACTAGCTCCCGCACTATTATCGGAAGGTTGAATTATATTTCTTACCAATTTTCCCAATTGGATGATCATTTTCATCAAATTCCACACGGGGCTTCTTTTCTTGTGATGAAGCAATACCACACAATGCAGACTTCCCCCTAACCTTTCGTTTGGTAGCACTTGTTGCGGTGTCCGTAGGGGTAGGGACTTGAGAACTAGCATGATTGGATGAAGGATCACTAACTCCTACATTTTGGTCACCTGTGGATGTATGAGGGGAGTTTGAACCCCCATCAGAAATGCGTACAGCTGAGGGTTGACGCACAATACTAGCCAAAATTGCTTGACGCTCCCGTTCTAATCTTTTTGTAACTTTTCTAGAACTCTTCATTCCAAGTACATGAAAATTGATATAACATTAAAAACACAATAAAAATATAGTCGTACCTAAATTTAAACATTAAATTACAAATAATAAAAACATTAACTAAGGTTGATGCTTACCTCGGCATTGTCAGATATAATGAAAAGGATGTAAAAATTGATCTGTGTAGAAGCTTAAAAATCTGCAGTGAGAAGAATAATAACAAAGTAATACAATGACACAAATGAATTATCATCTCACTAATAAAGAGTGAAACAATCTCTTACAACAAAATAATATTTTATTAATGGACATATATACCAAAACCAGATTGCACACCAAATAAGAGCCACCAAAAAATAAGACCAACATTTGCTATAACCCTGAATTCTACACTATTATGACTTCACAATCATCTCGTACATATGGATGATCATCATCATCAACAATGTCAAGTCTTGATACATCTAAAGGAGCATAAGGCATATAAGGGTTTTCTTCAAAACTATCTACATCATGAGATCCTCTAATTGGTGCTTTAAGTACAACATACCAACTTGATGTTTCGGATTCCCTAGAATAAAACACTTGCTTAGCCTGCGATGCAAGGATATATGGATCTTTTGCAAATTGACTTTGACCTTCACGAAGGTTCACCAACGTAAATCCATCGTCAACTTTGATGCCATTTCTAATGTTTGCCCAATCACAATCAAATAATGGCACCTCAAAAGTGTAGTAGTTCAACAAAATTATATCTTTCAGAATGCCATAGTAAGTTATTTTTTCAATAACTTGATTTGTGTCTCTCACACTAGATCGGCATATAGTTTCAGTTTCAATAGAAACACCACTATCTTGTGTGCTTCTCTCAATATCCTTCGTGTGAAATCGTTGACCATTCACAACATAGCCAGAATAGGACATTACTTCTGTTCTAAGGCCACGTGCAAGCCACTTTAACTTACCTAATACATTTGTACTTACACTGATCGTAGTTTTTATCCATGAACTGAAGGTCTCCATATGTCTCTTCTCTAACAAATGTTCATTCCTTGCTAGACGACTGTCAGAACGCCTGAGTTCCTCCCGATGCTCTCTAACATATAAAACAATATGGTTATTCAAGTTTTTTGGATAATTATTAAAGAAAAAAAATATTTATTAATAATATCTTACTCTATGTATGGTTTAACCTCGTCACTGTTGAATAATACATAACGATGAGCAATGGCTAACATGTCAGGAGGAATGGGTTTTGAAATCCCCTTAGATATTGGGCGTCCTCTTTCTGTACTTTCACATTCAATATCTTCATTTCTAGATCGACGAAAACCTATTTCAGATACTTTTTTCATCTGTTCACTACAAAATTCTACGCACTCATCCACCAAATAACATTCTGCCATGCACCCTTCCGGTCTTGCTCGATTCCGAACATATCCTTTATAAACCTTCATAATCCTGTGTATGACATGAGACAATTATATTTGTAAACTAAAAATATCTATAACTACCTATAAAAAAAGAAATATGATAAATAGATTACCTCTCAAATGGGTACATCCAACGAAAGTGCACTGGTCCACAAAGATGAGCTTCTCGTGCAAGATGAATGGTGACGTGTACCATAATGTCGAAGAAAGATGGTGGAAAAAACCTTTCAAACATGCATAAAGTTTCAACAATTTCATTTTCAAGTTTTTCCAATTGTTTCCTATCAATCACCCTTTGGCATATTCCATTGAAATATGCACATAAGCGAACTATAGCATTCCTCGGACCTTTATGTGCTAATCCACGTAAAGCTACAGGTAATAATTGTTGCATCAAAATATGACAATCATGGGATTTTAGGCCACTAATCTTACATTCACCCAACGAGACTCGTTGCCCAATGTTTGAACTATAACCATCAGGCCACTTCAATTGTTGTAACCTTTTTAAAAATTTGCCCTTCTCTTCCTTCGATAATGTATAGAGTGCTGGTGGCAAGTAATGTTTCGTGCCTGATTCCTTTGGGTGCAAATCACACCTAATGCCCATTTTTTCTAGATCCATACGAGACTTGAATCCATCCTTTGATTTTCCCTTCATATTTAATAAAGTACCGAGAATGCTCTCACAAACATTTTTTTCAATGTGCATTACATCCAAATTGTGACGAAGAGGTAGTGCCTATCATAACAAGAAAATATGAATTATTAGTAAAGAATGTGATCTCCTAAAAGAAATAATAATGCCTAAAAAGTTAAACTCCGTAATGATTTCAAATTACATACCTCCCAATATGGCAATTCAAAAAATATAGACCTTTGCTTCCATGGCCAAGTGCTGGGATTTTTTTAGGAAGTGTCGTTCTTTTCGGAAGGATTTTCTTTGGACCTCTTACGTTTTTTGAAAGAATTTATGTTGGAATTCATGCATATTTTAGGTGTTTTTCCCCACTTATTCTCAAAATTCTCAACAATACGAAAAATTTCTGAACCAGATAATGCTATAGGTGGCCTTCTCAATTCTTCTTTTCCATTAAACCAAGTTTTCTTCTTTCTATAGCTGTGATTAATTGAAAGAAATCGCCGAGTATCCCTATACACAGTCTTCCCACTACATGGCAGCCACTCTGAGCATGTTTCTTTAGCACACACTGGACAACCACACTTACCTTTTGTTGCCTGACCAGACAGATTAGAATAAGCCGATAAATCATTGATTGTCCACATCAATATCACCTTCAAATTAAACATAGATTTAATGAATGAATCATAAAGCTAAACACCTTTTTCCCATAACTCCTTCAAATCTTCCACCAATGGCTCCAAAAATACATCAATATCATTCCCTGGTTGCTTTGGCCCTGAGATCAACATCGTCAACATCAAATTCTCTTTAGACATGCAAAACAATGGGTCAAAATTGTATACAACTAAAATCACTGGCCAACAACTATGTTTAGTGCTAAGATCACCGAATGGATTGACCCCATCGACCGCAAGGCCAAGCCTTAAATTTCGAGGATCTGATGCAAAACTCGGCCACTTCTTATTTATGATATCCCATGCAAGTGAATCAACTGGATGTCGCATATTTCTATCTTGACTTTTATTTGTTGAATGCCACAATACCTGTTCAGCCTTTTCAATCGATCGAAACAAACGCCTAAATCTTGGTACTATTGGAAAGTACCATAACACCTTAGCCGGAACCCCTTCTTGAACCTTACTATTCTATCTGTTCATTTTCCACCTTGAAGAACCACATTTTGGGCATGCATTCATATCCTCCTTTTCTTTTCTAAACAAACAACAATCATTAATGCAAGCATGTATTTTTTCATACCCTAAATCAAATGTCTTTAATAGCTTCTTTGTTTCATACATTCCTTTAGGAAGCTGGTTATCTGGTGGAAGCATAACACGAAGAATTTTAAGAAGCTCATCATATCCGATGTCAGATAGATTAAAAGCAGCTTTATGCTTATGTAAAGCAACAGTTGCTGACATAATTGTAAATGTCGTGCAATCTGTATATAAAGGAGTTTCAGCATGTTCCAACGCCTCTCTAAACTCACCCTCTCTACTTCCTTCAATATGCTCTGTAGCAGCGTTGTCTTCACCACCAAAATATACATCCCTGAACATCTCATATGTTTCAGGTATTTCCATACGATCTTGATCGCCTTCATTTACTACTTGTGTACTCCTCTTTTCTCCATGAAAGACCCATACAGTGTAATTGGAATCCATTCCCTTTTCCACTATATGCTCATACACCTTATGGTAATGTTGATATTGTGAGTTTAAACAAAGTTTACAGGGGCATAAAATGGTATCTTGATTCCTTGCATTACTTCGAGCCCAAGCGATAAATCTTTTTGCTCCATTTGTATACTCTTCTGAAGCTCTACAATTGAACACTTACAACTTTTAATTATTAAAAAAATAACAGGTTTAATGTTTTAGCTTTTATCGATAAAGCTATTTGTTATTCTAATAACCTGTCATCAAGGTGCATCCAGCCTTTATCCCCCATAGCTCCTTGCTGACTTATTCAATAACTCTAGTAAAAGTTTTTAATAACCTACAACAACTTCATCATGAGTAAAAAAAGATCAATTTTGTGATTATATATCTAGACTATGGCCACTTTACTAATTGAATTTTTGTTATTATATATATAAAATAAAAAATAAAAAAATAAAAAAAATTGAAGAAGTTAGCATTAAATTTAAGTCTAAATTTATTACCACTTGCAATTGAATCTCAAACACAGAAAACTCATAAGTTGAAATGCGTATGTGCAATTAAATACATTCATATACGATATAATCACTACATAATCAAAGACCTTGCATCAATTGCATTCTTCAAAAAATAAAATTCTGAATATATATATAAGCATCAATGACAAAATGCACAGAAATACACAGGAATAAATTATTGTTAAACCATTTTCATGATTTCTATGAAAATGAAACTGTTTTGATAAATGAAATTTCATATAAAATGAACTGTTCTGATATAATAAAATTTGATAAACTGTTTAGATATAAAATAAAACTGTTATGATAGTAAAAAAATTCATAAACTGTTCTAATACAAAATGAAACTGTTCTGACATAAAAAATTTCATATAAAATGAAACTATTCTGATATAAATATTTCTATGAAAATGAAACTATGGCATTATCATGCTTCTTGAAAGCATCCAACTGAAGCTTTCTAGGTCATCTAAACTTGATGCTCACAATAGAACAAAAGAAAATTAAATGAGAAGAATAATAAGAAGATTTCATTGGCAGAAGTATCATGTCAAAGAATAAGGGCTAATAAACCTTCTGCACCAAGTAAAGTTATGAACCTAGTTCCATAACACCTAGGTTATTTCAAAAATATTGGTAGTCCAACATGGATGACCCCAATAAAATGTTTGGCAGTCAGGAAATGATAGCCCTTCGAGGGGGAAGAGGTTTTAAACAAGCATCCTTTGTGAAAGAAAAAAGCATAGTTGACAATATCCCCTTAATACAACAGCATGTGAGGAACTAAGATAGGGATATAGGCCCTCTAGGTGCTTTATAAATGTTAATGTTGTGAAATCCTATTATATGGTGGGCTAGATTTTTTATTTTTTTTTTTAATTTTTGTCTTCAAAACATATTAATAGTAACCTACTACTTCCTTGATAATATTATAGTGTGTTACTATTGCTACCTTTTCTGTCAGCTTAAATGGTGCTGTGCATATATATATATTAACAATCTATAGGGCTTAGGTGAGTAGATCCTATATATTCTTACCTACTTCATGAAGCTTTCTCTGCAATTTTGTATATAATAATTTCACATTTTAAAGTGGGATGATCTACTTATCCTTAGTGATGTCAATGTCAGTTTTTATTCATGATATAGAAACTGGTAAGCTTCAAATAATATGTTTTGGACTCTCATTAATCTCTAGTAGGCTTTTTTGGCCTGATATTGGAAGGAATTAATGGATAAAATTATCAACAAGTGTTAGAACTAAGTTGACCTAACAATTCTGCTAGACTTCAGTTGGTATTCAAATATTCATACTAGTTAGTAAATTTTGTGATCTTTCCTTTGGACTGGTTCAGAATTCAAGCACCAAGTAGCAGAGAAGTCAAATGGGATGCTATATCCAATCCTGAATCAGAAGGGTGTTTGGGTATGAAAAGGATTCTGAATTGAAGTAAATCCTGTATGAGGAGACACATTAGACTTTATATGTATACATACTCCTTGGGCTAGATGGTGTTATGTATAGAATTGATAATAAGAATAAAAATAATTGTTACTTTTAAAACATATGTACACCAGAAGTTTTGATAATGATCATGCAATTTAGTACTACTTACAATTCATCATATGCGAGTGATTCTATCAAAAAGATACAACAGCTAAATTTTATGGTTATGATGTCTCATTATGAGGTCCAGCTACTATGTAAGAGTTGAGGAAAATTCAATAATAGCTGTACTTTCAGCCTAAACCAGTGTTTATACGTGGTATAAAGGTCACCAAACACAATATCATATACGAGATGAAAGGATTACAAATAAGTGTTAAATTTTCATTTTATTGAAACATAGATCGAGTCTACTATATTTTTATTTATTTATAAAATTTGATGGTTCTATACAATGAATTAAAAGACAAGAGTATCATTTAATAATGAATTAAAAAGCAGGATGACTTTTCATTACTGGACAGATTATTACTTGCGCAAGTCCGATCTAAGTATCAGTCATGGGTAAGGAGTAAATACATCATTTAATGGAAAGAATCATCTGTCTCTATCTAAGTGTTGAAAGATTATTGGATAACCATTTTGGCGCCATTAGGTGACAGTAATATTAATTTGTAGCAATGTATTACATTAAGAACATCACCATCTGAAATCTTGAAAAAGCAATAAAACAAAAAGATCTCTGACCCTTGGCGTTACACCAGATAATTCTATATTTCATCAGAAATAATACTGTCAGATCTTAGAAACGTATAAGCCTCATTAAGGAAAGTGTTAGGATTTGTATATAGGGCAATGGGACTTTTTTGGCTTAATCATAGACCTCAACTATCATGGATTTTAAAGATGTTCCTCTTATGATTCAAAAATTAGATTAAGGCATGAGGCTAAGTCCTTGGGCCTTTATAAAACATCCTCATATTGAAGTTATTAAGCGTAAAATTTTAGTTGCTTTCCTTAGAATTTGGGGCAATACAGAGGGTGGAGACTTAAGTTGAAGGTCTTTAACAACAGTCCCTTTGTCAATAACCATCCTGATTTAAGGTCCTAATATGTGGTATCATAGTGTTCATTAGCTAAAACCATGTCTGTCAGGCCAGAACCCCGATTACCCAAAAGCATATAAAATTGAATTGGGAACATCCTTGGAAAGTTAGAAATGCCCAATCAGCCAAATAATCCTCCAACAACAAATTAATTCAAAAACAACAAAATATAAAATAATCAATTCTTAAATTTCACTCAAGCAAAATTAAATTAAAGTTTATCTTGTTTTTATTCAGTAAATGAATCTTCAATTACAAAGACACAGACTCTACAAATTGCTAATGGAACACAGAGATGATCAAAGAGAAGTTAAAAAATAGTACCTGTCTTAGAGAGGCTTAGACTAATCAACCATGCTGCGAAAGATGAAAAAAAAAAAAAAAAAGAAGTAAATTGATAAGAGTTCAGAGAAGGAAGAGAGGAGAAGAACTGAGATGAGTTCAGAGAAGAATAGGTCGACATGAACCATATATATATATATAAATATATATATATATATATATGTATATACACACATTCAGAGAAGAAAAGAAATGAACCAAGAATAGAGATGTACTTGGGTTATTTTCCTCGATCTGAAAGTGAAACTCATGAAATTTGGGCTTAGAGCTAGGATTCAGAGAAGAAAAGAAAAGAAATGAACCAAGAACAATATATATACACACACATTCAGAGAAGAAAAGAAATGAACCAAGAACAGAGATGTACCTGGGTCATTTTCCTTGATCTGAAAGTGAAACTCGTGAAATTTGGGCTTAGAGCTAGGATTTAGAGAAGAAAAGAAAAGAAATGAACCAAGAACAATATATATAGACACACATTCAGAGAAGAAAAGAAATAAACCAAGAACAGAGATGCACCTGGGTTTTTTTCCTTGTTCTGAAAGTGAAACTCGTGAAATTTGGGCTTAGAGCTAGGAACCAAGAACAATATATATAGACACACATTCAGAGAAGAAAAGAAATAAACCAAGAACAGAGATGCACCTGGGTTTTTTTCCTTGTTCTGAAAGTGAAACTCGTGAAATTTGGGCTTAGAGCTAGGATTAGGGTTTGTGTGGATTTTGGCAAAGGATCGATGTTTGTGGATTTTGGCTAAGGATCGACGTGTGCGGATTTGGAAGTAATATTAGGAATTTCGCGCGCTGCTCAAACAAAAGCCGCCAATTTTAACTTTTAATGAAAATAAACCCTATTCTACAACAGGCCATGCGGGCCTGTTCTAGAAAACCCTTTCTACAACAGGCCATATGGGCCTATTGTAGAAAACTACTCTTCTACAAGGGCTTACACGGGCCTGCTGTAGAAGGTACTTTCTACAACAGGCCCGCATGGTCCTTGTTGAAAATGCGTTGTATAAAGCCCATTTTGTTGTAATTTACTTGTCGTAGTGTATGCTCTAGATAAATTTTGGTCTTATCTCTTAGGTTTAAAAGTCATTGTCTATTCTGATCATGTTGCTTTGAGGCACCTTTTGACAAAGAAAGAAACAAAGCCTCGTTTGATAAGATAGATTTTGTTTCTTCAGGAATTTGATTTTGAAATCAAAGATAAGAAAGGCACCGAAAATGTGCTTGCTGATCATCTTTCAAGATTAGTGGTATAATCTTCCTCGAACCCACCAATTCATGATTCATTTCCGAATGAACAACTATTCCAAGTTTCTAATGGACAAATACCTTGGTTTGCCGACATTGTGAATTTTCTGGCAATTGGCAAACTTCCGACCAATTGGTCAAAGCAAGCAAAGAAGTGTTTCTTTGCTAACATCCATAATTACTATTGGGAAAATCTTATTTTATTTCGATATTGTCCGGATCAAATTGTGAGAAGGTGTATTCTAGAGAGTGAAATTCCAAGTGTGCTTGTGTTTTACCATACCCTTGCATATGGTGGGCATTTTAGTGCGAAGAAAACCGCCTTGAAGGTGCTTCAAAGTGGGTTATTTTGGCCCACCATACATAGAGATGCCTACAATTTTTGCAAGGAGTGTGAGAGATGTCAAAAAATGGGGTCAATGTCGAGAAGAGATATGATGCCCTTGACAAATATTCTCGTTGTTGAAATCTTTAATATTTGGGGCATTGATTTCATGGGTCCTTTCCCTATGTCTTATGGATATCAATACATTTTGCTTGCCGTTGACTATGTTTCTAAATGGGTGGAGGCTTGTACTACCAAAACCAATAACCACTCCGTGGTTGTCCAGTTCATTAAATCCAATATCTTTACTCATTTTGGTATGCCAAAAGTAATGATTAGTGATAGAGGAAAGTATTTTTGCAATCAATTCTTAAGGAAATTATTTCTTAAGTACTCCGTTACTCATAAAGTCATCACTCCCTACCATCCTTAAACAAGTGGGCAAGTAGAAGTGTCAAACCGGGAAATTAAACATATTCTTGATAAAACGGTTAACACAACCCGGAAGGATTGGTCACGCAAATTGAATGACGCTTTGTGGGCTTACCGAATGGCATATAAGACTCATATTGGCTGAAAACCTGAATTTAAGTGCTGGTTGTTTCGGTAGACCGAAATAAGATTTTGGTCGACCGAAATAGGCCTTGAACAATAGATTTGGCTACTGGAATGATGAATTACTGTGCATAGACAATTCCAATTGCCATCGGTCAACCGAAATGGAGTTTTAGTCGACTAAAACACCTCGAAATGCTTCTGGAAAACCTGTTATGAGTCCAAGGTGCTAAGGTTCAACCTATACTTTGAATCCCATGATGAATTGGTTCAAAATGAATGTTGAAAACTGATTTTTCATTGAAATTCAAATATGTGGATATGCCAACAACTTTGAAATGAATATTTGAATGTAAAACAATGGCCCATGGCCTCATACATATAAATTACAAGATTTTCATATGTCAAACCTCCAAAATTAGTCCAAATACATTTTGAAACGAAAGTTTGATACCAAAAAAATACAAGTACAAAAGTACACATGTTTGACCCTTGGCTTCTTTACATACATGCTTTTAATGTCAAAAGTAGATATTAAAGTATCATTACACATCAAGAAAGCTACACAAGCTTCTAAAGTACCATACACCCATGGTATACAAAATGTGACATCAAAAGAAAGGCATGCTAAGCACTTGCATGTTAATACACAAAAATGCTTCAAATAGCTCATAAGTCTCTAAGGATGATGAGCATCCAAGAACATAGTCTCTTTACCTGAAAAATAACCCAAACCACTAGGGTGAGTAATCAAGTTACTCGTAGGAAGAAGCATATGCGTATACCCTAAAGTTTCAATATCATTGCAAGATCAATATAGACGAATACAAGGGAGCATTCCTATGTTCAAGGTATTCTAAGGGATCGTCTTAAGCTAACTTAGATGAATCTAGCAACACAATAAAAAAAGGGATGTACTTAACAACATCAAATCGCATGAAACAAAAATTACAAGTTACAATTTAACCATTGATTGTCAACTTGGAATTGAATGCGAAATCAAAAAGTGGAATCCTTGGACACCTAAGCTTGAAATTCTGCCGAGACCTCAATGGTTATTCCGGGCATTAACCCGCAGGGAAGACCACCCTAAGTGCGCACTATCTCGATTGGGGAAAACTCATACCTCTCGCACTAGAGCCAAACTCTAGTCATGTTACTTGTAACCATGTCCCAAGAGAATCCAAAATATATCAAGTTCAAAACTTATACATAAATAATAAGGCATGTCAACCACCTTACAAGCACAAGTATTTTGAAACCACACAAACCATGTCTTAGGGTTCCAAGTCTATAATGGCATGCTAAATGACAAGTCATCATCATGATATTATGCACAATACAATACCACCAACTTATCAATTTCAATCATGCCTTAACAACGAGTTTTATACACTAAATATCAACATTTAAAGCAATAAGCTTCTAGGGTAATTACAATTTGTAATTTACAAGAACATAGAATTATTATCTCAACAAATATTGCAATTTAAGTCAATGGAAATTGCATATAACATTAATAATTCCACAAGAGTTCTATATCACAACACATGTGAAAATACAAGAATTTAGCATACTACTAAATTATATAATCCTTCTACACACATGGTTTATACATATCATACATGCTTAAATCCATAAACCCTAAGTCAAAAAGTGAGGGTTCCTATAATATGCAATACTATCATATTAAAAGCATGTATACAATATATATTAAACCCCAAAGATTATAAAACACTTAAAATATAAACATACTACCACCCCTACCTCAATAGAGAATTGAATCTCTATAATCCAAGCTCCTAAGCTCAAAATGGAAAACAAGTTTAGGGTTATTGAAGAGGAGAGTGAAGGGAAGCTTTTATGTTTTAAGGTTTTAAGTCTAGAATGAATGGAAGGATGCCAAAAATGAAGTCAAAGCTATTAACCGAGCTTTTCTCCAATGGTGGCTATGCTAGGGTTTTGAAGAACAAGTGAAATGAAGAAGATAAAGTGTGCAATGGTGAGTGGAAGGGCTAGAAATCCTCCACTCACTATGTGTTCTTACACTACCTCCCACACACACACAATGCAAGACTTGTTTTGGTGCCTACACTTGTCATAAATCCAAGGCTCCTTCCTAGACTTAATCCTAAGCCTACACTTGTCAACCATCTACGCTAACAAGTGCACCAATCCTAGGCCAACATGTGGGTGAATCTCCACCCTCCAAATGTCAAAAGATAACACATCCAAGTCACTACACCCCATTACCAACAAGTGACACCATGAGTATGTGACACTTGTCACATTTTTAAAAAATTACAAAATGGTCCTTTTTCAAAATATCTTACAAATTAAATTACAAAAAGGTCCCTAAGATGAAAAATAATTACTTTACACAAAAACCCCAAAAATAAAGAAAAATTACAAGAAACTATGCATTCATGCCCTTTATGAAAAAGTAAGTAACTAGAATATATTTTCTACAAAAGTAAAAATACAAATGTCATGGAAATCAAATATCATGAATGCATGCAAAACCGGAATTAAATCCGAGCACAACAAGTGAGGTTATGCAAGGAAAAATGATAAACGGGAAAAAGACGAAGTAGGAAAAAGACAAAATAGGAAAAAGACGAAAAAGGAAAAGGAGGAAAAGACCAGGTCATTACATGCATTGTAGTTTAATCAACCAACCAAATTATCTTTTGATCACTCGACCTACTAACCCTATATATTGTTTCCATTGCAAACACGCTTACAATCTCTTGGGATGATCCCTACTCACCCTAGCTATATTTTTAGTTAGAGGTAGTAGTGGCATTTATAAATTTAAACTTGGCCACATTGCACATTCACATTCTTAGTACATTTTTAGGCTTTGGTCCGATGACACACCAAGTTTTTGGCGCCGTTGCCGGGGATTGAATTGGCAACGCCGTATTTCTTTGGAAATAATTAGGAATTAGTACTCATTTGATCGTGTCTTTACTTTACTTTATTTTTGTTACTTATTGTGTTTGTTCTTATTTGGCTAGGTAAATTGAGTAAGGAAGTCAAGCAAAGAAGATTAGAAAAGCAATGAGTTAAGCTAAGCACACAAAAAAAAAAAAAAACAAAAAAAGGAGCTAAAATCTAAAAATTTGCAAAGCATAGCAAGGCTTGGAAATCCAAAGTTAAATTGAAGTTGCTTAAGGACCCTTTGGTTTGACGACGCACCAATATCCCAAGTTCCAAAATCAATAAGTTGTGCAAATCAAAATAGTATCAAGATACAAGTAATGCATTAACCACGTTTCATGCACAACCAAGATTTTGGAAACACACTGGTCATGCCCTAAATTCTTAACTATGATGGCATGTGAAATGTCAAGAGATCATGGTATGCATCTACATAGACTACAAACTAGGATTTAAACCACAAGGAATCCATTGATGTAAATATACCACAAGTATAAGATTAATGATTTAATTATTTACTAAGCAATACATGGATAATTAAATCATTCCAAAACAATTGTGCTAGTTCATTAAACACACTAATGAAGTCAAGTTTGATAAGTACACAAAACCTATTATTTCATGCATCAAAATAAGTTTTTAATTAGACTATTATATTATTTAAACTTTCTTATATGCTCATTTTGTGTTTATAGGTGTTAATGTATGAATAGGAAGAAAA